GTGTGTGTGGGTGTGTGTGTGTGTGTGTGTGTGTGTGTGTGTGTGTGTGTGTGGGTGTGTGTGTGTGTGTGTGTGTGCGTGTGCGTGTGTTAAGGAATTGGGGAGAAAAGACATAACGAGTTTGCAGGGAAGGTGTCAGTCGGTGTGACTGGCAATGGAGGCAGAGGGTAAAGGCGACCTTTGCATCCAGCATTGCCGCCGTGGGGACCCTGCTGTGTTTAGAACTGATTGAACAAGTCTCCCAGCTAGACTGCCACTGTAACCAGAGGTGATGGCAGCATCTCTGCGGGTGTCAGGTCACAGCGCTCAGCTAAAAGGAAGCTACCCCAGGGGTGTCATAAGATATTTTCCGTCTTAAGAAAAATGTTTCATGTCTGAAAAGTCCTCTCTTCGCATGTTTTGAGGTGGCCAAAGGTGGTCGCAAGCCACATGTGCCTCTTTGGCTACCCCTGTTCACAGATCCTCAAGTAAATCAATATTTGCTTGAAGAATGATTAGAAAGCTTTCGGGCAATCGGATGTTGTGGCGACATCACTAATTGGCTACAATTCTCAGCGGTGTGGCAGTACAGTCGCTGTTTTCAACTTCAACAGCTTTGTATAGCTATTCAGTGGGAACGATACTTTGATGAAATATCGAGTCCTCACTGAGCACTTCTGGTGTTTAGCGTGCAAAACGAGAAGACAAGAATGAAGGTGAATAATAGGCCTATATCTTTAGGTTCTGTTCCTCAAAAGTATCACTATCTTTGTGAACATTATTATCTTTTTAAATAATCTGACATTAGGTAAAAAAAAAAAAAATCTAACGGAGCTAATGGAATGATGACCACATCAGTAATTATATTATAATTGTACTCGTATATCCATTACCTTTTAAAGGCTCGACCCACCGACAGTAGGTTTACTTTTCTTTAGTAACAGTTTAGTAGTTTGTCATTCTGTTGTTGCTGAGCGAGCTTCATTTATATGGCGGGTAACTTCAGTGTAGTCAAACTACTTGTAATCCATCATATCTTCTACCTTAGCTCTCTACATTTTCCCAGCAGATTTCCCGAGGCTGTTGGTAGCAAGCCCAAATACATCCGTAGTAAGTAAGCTATAGCCAGAAGTCAAAGGCCAAGCAAAGCAAACCAAGGGGCAAAATATGAGAAAGAGATGCTATCCATAAATGCATCAAATATTTTGCCCAGACTGTGTAGCTGTACCTAATATTGTGACCAGATGGGTGCTAGATCATCTGTTTTGTGGCTATTTAAAAACGTAGTGGGTCAGTTGTATGTCGTCGTGTTGGCCACGGCAATCAACTATAGTGTTTGTAATGTTCTTAACAAGTTAAAGCTGTGGGTTTTTTTTTTTTCATTAAAGTTGGCCTGGCTTAGCTTTTGTTTGCATCCAATTGTGTCTCTTGTTAATATCTGGGAGGCAGATAAGAGGCACTGAATTTTTCTTTTGCTTTTAAATGTCAAGCACAGAGGACTTGGACCGTAATAGGTAGCTCTTTTGTGTTCAAATAGAGAAAGATAATTTCTAAAGACACTTCAGAAAATGTGTTTCAAAACCTTTATTCTATTTGGGTAGTTTTGCCTTTCTGCTGTCATCATGATATGGGAGGAATGCCAAAGAGAACAAAGGCTTTTTTTGGTCCTATTTTTAGAGTCTTGTGTTGAAACGAGGAAAATTATTTCTCTTGTACAAAGGGAGAGCGTTCGTAGAAGCGCACTGAGAAAATATATGCAGCTCTGTTTTCACAGACACTGTCCACAAGATAAGGGTAAGCTCCAAAGAAAAAACAATTCCAGTTCTAATTTCAAATCATCATATCCCGTTGAAAATAACGTAAAGTGAATTAATTTGTTCCAGCTCTAAACTGTCGGCATCATAAAATCAATTTAAATCTATAGCCACTGTTTTTAAAAATATTGTTAACTGGCATAAAATTATAAAAGAGGCTAACTCGTGTAAAATTGATTTCAACTATCATGAAGTAACACTCTTCTGTCATGGAAGCTACCTGACAGACACTTAATGAAGCGAGAACACGATTTTACGTTATTTAATTTTTTTACACGGTAGTTCTGTCCCCTTGTGGCATTTTTTTCGGCACTGTTAGAATCAACGCCTTTGCGTGTGTGGCTCAGCAGGCAGCAAAAGAACACATCGTGACCGTTGGGTTTCTTTTGTCCTTAGCTACTCATTTAATTTGGTCATTATGTAATTATTTGTTGAATCATGTAACACATGGTTCAAGTGGCCGTTACAAGTTCCTGTGAGTTTGCATCTGTAATTGATATTTCTTTTATTGTATTGCTAAGATTGTACTGCGGAGCTATACTTTTCCTCTGCTTTGCAACAAATTGAATTTGCTGGTTCTGGAGCTATCACGACCAGTTTCCTCTGCCATCACTAAACCCTTCATAAACAAACACAAAATAGAACCCAAACACACACACCTGTGGAGGTAATCTGGCATCGTGCATAGTTTTATTTTTCCAGAAATACTGAGAGAATGTATCACACAGGGGCATTCTGCTGTATTCAATAGGCAATATGTTTAATGTTGTGTTCATAGTTTGCTGCGGTGTAGGACGATTACACTAATGGCAATTTCCAATGTTTTCCCCCTGTAGCTATATCGTGTAGCTAAATCAAATCTCTGAATATGATACAGTGAAATTGTTCACCACTGCAGCCGCACCGTTACCTGCAAAGTCAGACTGAACTGTTCCAGACTGGGTATTTTTAGAGTGTCCTTCACTTTGAAGCCCCTGGCTAATCTTGCAGTGCATTAATGCACTCCACATATATGGAGTAGTTACAGGAATGTTTAGCTAAGCAAACTGAGGGGGCAGATTCTCAGGCAGGTAGGTAGGCAGCATTCTGGCAATCCCGTGTGTCAAGATAAGAGGGACTGAGTAAGCATTTTGAATATGCTATAAGGGGGGTAACATTGCTGTGTGCGCTGTAAACGAGTGAGTGGGCGAGTGACAGAGAGAGAAATAGATAGAGAGAGAATTGGGGTAAAACAGCAGTTTCAACTATTGTAGCGTGCAAGTGTGCTTTTGTGTGCGGTGATGTGTGTGAAATAGAGTGCTGCTGAAAAGGTGCAACTAGTCAAATATAATCCCAATAGAGTGTCAGAAATCTGTCAGTGTAACCTCCACACTTGCACCACAAGTAAAACAGTCCCATTGGATCTGTTATAAAAAGCATCTCTCTGTTTTATACATCATGAATCTTGATTTGTGTCAAATAAGCAGTTTATACGCATGTAAATGTTTAACAGGTCATCCTACTGTATATATTGACGAATGATGATGCACCTTGGAAGGCCAGAATGCTCATGCGTGCGCTAATATGACTATGTAGAGAATTGTGAATTCTCATGCTCTTCTCATTATTTTGTATGTATGTGTGTGTGTGTAGCAAGCGCTCCAGCCTCTCCAAGAGAGATGATGAGTCTGAAGGAACGCAAGATGGACTACGATTCCACAGCAACCAATGCTGGTTTCCATAGCAACAAAGGCGAGCACACATCCCGGAAAGATGGCATGGCAGGTGCGTATGAGTATGCGTGCGTGTGCGCGTGCTTGTGCGTGTAGTGAGTCTTTCTTTTCCACCAATCGCATTGTCGTCTCCAAGCAGAGTGCTCTTCTTTGTTCTTTTTGTTTGGTTAGTATGTAATCATTTGTCTCTATTTTTACATCTTTTCTTTGGTTGTGTTAGTCCTGGCTACTTGATTCGTATTGGAATAATGTACTTGCCAGCATTTTTAAGAAAGAATGAAGTGGCATTCCACGTGTAAATGTTGTTATTAATCATTTGGTTTTCCCCATTCAAGTGTCCTGTGGAACGTCTACATTGTTCCGAAATTCATACCTGACTGCCAGCGATGATATCAAGCCAAACCAGGTGAGCCTCAAAAAAAAAAAAAAAAAAAAAAAATTTGAATGCATTTGTACACCCTGTCAAATAGTTTATCCAGCATATCCTTCCTTTGGCCTAGGCTGGCAGGAGATAATAGCGAGAAGGAATTTGAAAAGTTGCCACTCTTATGAAATTCCTCAAATAGTGTCTCCTGTTGTAAAAGCGTGTACTATTGATTAGCTGTGCAAAATTCCTCTCCTGAAATTGCCCCCACCTATACTGTGGTCCCCGACACACTTCACCACCTACAGATTCACCCATTCACAGACTTCTTATTTATTCATTTTTTTTGGGGTGCCAACCTCCATTTTTTTATGGAAAAAGCATATTGGCTGTATATCCCCACTTGTTCATGAATTTGGAGGGTTAAAAAAGAAAATAAAAATATCCGTGCAGTTCTAATGTCATTTAGTATATTGTTAAAGGAGAACGCAGATTTTTGTGTTGATGTAACAAGGCGGCCCCAATCAATCATATGCAGCATGTGCCCGCCACTCTTTTCCGTTGGTGTTTACCTACATTGCCTGAAAGCCTTCTCTCCCATCACCTCACCTTCCACCTCCCTCCATGCCTCCCTTCACTGCACTTCCACCACCATCCGTCTGCCGGACACCGCATCCTCCACAGGCCCCAGTTCAGCCCTGCACCATGGCCCCGCAGCCCCAACAGGACAGTCCGTCAACAGCCGTGCTAAAAGACTACGACCACTACCCACCCCCTCCCTCCTTCCCCCCCCCTCTG